GCACGGGTGTTGTTAGGCCCAAGACGAAGTCGAGGACCGGCAAACCGTGCCAATATATCCTCCAAACACCGGCTTCGAGGGCATTATCACTTTTATACAACGGGTTACCAACATATTCAAATAATGATTTACATATTTTCATTAAACACGTTATTTTGATTAATTTATTCATACTATTTCATCCTTCCACAAGATATAGTCCCGACACAAATCTAGGGTTGCTACCCAAGCCCACTGGTCTTTCTATCGTTTCGGTTGCCAGAGACTCAACCCAGTCGTTCAGTCTTTTTGTTCTGTATCTATGGACGCGACCCAGTCCTTTGTTCTAAATGTTCCATTGCTCTACTGGCTGCCAACGTTCTTATCCCTTGTTGCTCTACTAGCTAGCCAACGTTCTTATCCCTTGTTGCTCTACTAGCTAGCCAACGTTCTTATCCCTTGCTTTCTAGCTAGCCAACGTTCTTATCCCTTGTTGCTCTACTAGCTAGCCAACGTTCTTATCCCTTCCTTTCTAGCTAGCCAACGTTCTTATCCCTTGTTGCTCTACAAGCTAGCCAACGTTCTTATCCCTTGTTGCTCTACTGGCTAGCCAACGTTCTTATCCCTTGCTTTCTAGCTAGCCAACGTTCTTATCCCTTGTTGCTCTACTAGCTAGCCAACGTTCTTATCCCTTGCTTTCTAGCTAGCCAACGTTCTTATCCCTTGCTTTCTAGCTAGCCAACGTTCTTATCCCTTGCTTTCTAGCTAGCCAACGTTCTTATCCCTTGTTGCTCTACTAGCTAGCCAACGTTCTTATCCCTTGCTTTCTAGCTAGCCAACGTTCTTATCCCTTGCTTTCTAGCTAGCCAACGTTCTTATCCCTTGCTTTCTAGCTAGCCAACGTTCTTATCCCGTGTTGCTCTACTAGCTAGCCAACGTTCTTATCCCTTGCTTTCTAGCTAGCCAACGTTCTTATCCCTTGCTTTCTAGCTAGCCAACGTTCTTATCCCGTGTTGCTCTACTAGCTAGCCAACGTTCTTATCCCTTGCTTTCTAGCTAGCCAACGTTCTTATCCCTTGCTTTCTAGCTAGCCAACGTTCCTATCCCTTGTTGCTCTACTAGCTAGCCAACGTTCTTATCCCTTGCTTTCTAGCTAGCCAACGTTCTTATCCCTTGCTTTCTAGCTAGCCAACGTTCCTATCCCTTGTTGCTCTACTAGCTAGCCAACGTTCTTATCCCTTGCTTTCTAGCTAGCCAACGTTCTTATCCCTTGCTTTCTAGCTAGCCAACGTTCTTATCCTTGCTTTCTAGCTAGCCAACGTTCCCTTGCTTTCTAGCTAGCCAACGTTCTTATCCTTGCTTTCTAGCTAGCCAACGTTCTTATCCCGTGTTGCTCTACTAGCTAGCCAACGTTCTTATCCCTTGCTTTCTAGCTAGCCAACGTTCTTATCCCTTGCTTTCTAGCTAGCCAACGTTCCTATCCCTTGTTTGCTCTACTAGCTAGCCAACGTTCTTATCCCTTGCTTTCTAGCTAGCCAACGTTCTTATCCCTTGCTTTCTAGCTAGCCAACGTTCCTATCCCTTGTTGCTCTACTAGCTAGCCAACGTTCTTATCCCTTGCTTTCTAGCTAGCCAACGTTCTTATCCCTTGCTTTCTAGCTAGCCAACGTTCTTATCCCTTGCTTTCTAGCTAGCCAACGTTCTTATCCCTTGCTTTCTAGTTAGCCAGCGTTCTTATCCCTTGCTTTCTAGCTAGCCAACGTTCTTATCCCTTGCTTTTTAGCTAGCCAACGTTCTTATCCCTTGCTTTCTAGCTAGCCAACTGTACTTCGTTTCGTTGTACCTTTTTTTTTTTCAATTGACATTTCTTGGTATATATCCATAGAAATGATGCCATCTGATTCATGAATTCGACTGGCTGAGAAACGCTGTCTGTCTGTCTGTCTGTCTCGTCCCGACACCCGACACGTTCATTACTATGGAACAGCTGGAGATCGAATTTGAATATTGAAACAACGTTACAAATGTCGGAGAGACAGACAGCAAGGATTATTGTTAATCTCTGCTGTTTAAAACTAAATGTTATTCTAAAAGAAATGTGAGATAATGTCTAGATGCTTTTTATAGTGGAGATCAAGTTTATAAAGTGCCTGGCTGGGCTGATGAGACAGTGGATTGCGCAGTCAGATGGAACAGAGTAAATAGGCATTTTAACGTCATAGATTTAGCCGGTGGTAACTTGTGGAATAGACGCCGGCTGGAATGCGGTTTTAACCAATCAGCATTCAGGATTAGACCCACCCGTCATCTTGGTAAGCAGCAACAGCAGTATAGATTTGGCTTTGTGTTGTAGGTTATTGTCCTGATGGAAGGTCAAATCCTCTCCCAGTTTCAGGTGGTCATTATTGTGGATTATCGTGAATAGTCACATGTACAGGGTTGCAGGTGGTCATTATTGTGGATTATTGTGAATAGTCACATGTACAGGGTTGCAGGTGGTCATTATTGTGGATTATCGTGAATAGTCACATGTACAGGGTTGCAGGTGGTCATTATTGTGGATTATTGTGAATAGTCACATGTACAGGGTTGCAGGTGGTCATTATTGTGGATTATCGTGAATAGTCACATGTACAGGGTTGCAGGTGGTCATTATTGGGGATTATTGTGAATAGTCACATGTACAGGGTTGCAGGTGGTCATTATTGGGGATTATTGTGAATAGTCACATGTACAGGGTTGCAGGTCATTATTGTGGATTATTGTGAATAGTCACATGTACAGGGTTGCAGGTGGTCATTATTGTGGATTATTGTGAATAGTCACATGTACAGGGTTGCAGGTGTGATTGCAGGGTACAGTGTAAATCTTAGGCTTGGAGCTCCAACATGCAGGACTAAGTGAAATAAAAGAATGAAGATATCGGAGCTCGAGGCGAGGCGCTCTCTGTCAGCGCCATCTTAGCCATCATGTTGTTGGTCCATCCTCGAGGCGAGGCGCTCTCTGTCAGCGCCATCTCAGCCATCATGTTGTTGGTCCATCCTCGAGGCGAGGCGCTCTCTGTCAGCGCCATCTCAGCCATCATGTTGTTGGTCCATCCTCGAGGCGAGGCGCTCTCTGTCAGCGCCATCTTAGCCATCATGTTGTTGGTCCATCCTCGAGGCGAGGCGCTCTCTGTCAGCGCCATCTTAGCCATCATGTTGTTGGTCCATCCTCGAGGCGAGGCGCTCTCTGTCAGCGCCATCTTAGCCATCATGTTGTTGGTCCATCCTCGAGGCGAGGCGCTCTCTGTCAGCGCCATCTTAGTCATCATGTTGTTGGTCCATCCTCAGTTTTCTCCCATCACAGACATTGAACTCTGTAGCTGTTTTAAAATCACCAGTGGCCTCATGGTGACATCCATAAGGATGTTCATTTCCTTGGAAGGATAGCCGCCCTGTGCTTCTCCACCCACGCATATAGCCTACTCTATTTAATGGAGACCACATGCTCACCTGACCAATGGCCTCATGGTGACATCCCTGACCAGTTTCCTTCCTGTCCTGCAGCTCAGTTCAGAAGGACGACTGTATCTTTGATGTGTCTGGTTGGTTTAATACATCATCCACAGCATAACTATTAACTTGACCATGCTTAAAGAGATATTCTATGTCTGATTTGTTATTGTTACCCATCTACCAATCACTGCCCTTCTTTATGAGGCTTTCGAAAAGCTCCCTGGTCTTTGTAGTTGAATCTGTGCTTGAAATTCAATACTTGACTGAGGGACCTTACAGATGTATGTATGGGGGACAGAAGAAGGAGTAGTCATTTAAAAATAATGTCAACCCCTAATATTTCACCCAGAGTGAGTCCATGTAATTTATTATGCCCTCCCAGGCCCACCCATGGCTGTGCCCCTGCCCAGTCATGTGAAATCCATAGATTAGGGCCTAATTAATTTATTTCAATTGACTGATTTCCTTATATGAACTGTAACTCAGTAAAATCGTTGATATTTTTTGCATGTTGCATTTCTATCTTTGTTCAGTATAAAAAGGATTTGATTAATGCAACATATTTTGGTCTGAATATAAATAACATGTGGAACACCCAATAGTGCATATCTACTCCTACACCATGTAGGCGCACTCTAGACCTACGTGTTTATTTTTGTTTGACTGAATGAATATAAAATTGTCCTGAAATGATTTTGCTGCGATATCAACTCCAGTCATCAGAAAGCGACGTGGGCTATTTGCGTGACGTAGAAAATAGCGGACATGACGCCGCGGTCCACAACAACAAAGATGGTGGCTACTTTACCTTAGGTAGCGAACTAAACTTTTGCTAGCGTTATTTCTTTTTGCGCATTTGAGTACTCTTCTGTGCAGATTCATGATTTTATATGTATATATATATTTGTAATACTCATGTTTACTAAGCTAACCATTTGGTTAGCTTGCTGCTACTTATATCTAATCATCATTCTGTCGCCAAACTAGCTCGGCTTGGTGTAGAGTAGCAAACGTTAGGTATTTGATGATACACCACTTATTTAGTAAGTAGAGGATCGTGAAATTGCGACACATAATTTAACTTTTTGTCAAATATATAGCTACCTAACGTTAGTTAAATTCAGTTTGCTAGCTAGCTAGCTGCCCATAGCTAACACTGTTTTGATAAGTCACAGCCAGCTAGCTAACTATTAGCCTCGACGACCGAGCGTCGAGGAACAGGCAATGTATTTGGTTGAGGCTAGCTAACTACACTTAGCTACTAACTAAAAATAACAATAGTATGGATGAGTTAGACTGGTCATTGAGTTAGCCACTGTAGTTAACTAGCTGTGTAAAGAAAATAAGCTACACCAACATTTCCTGACTCCAGAAAAGTGATTAACAAAAGTCAGCTACCTCGTTTACACAAATCTAATCACTATTCAATTGGTCAACTGTGTTTTAGGTGACTGTAACGTTACTGTCGACTAGCCGCCGTCAGTGAGCTAGCCAGCCCAGCGCCGCCGACCGACTGTCCCAGCCATGAGCTCGCTAAGCTACTTCACCCCGGCCCGAGAGGAAGAGCTGCTGTGGTCGGGGAACGCAGGAGCAGCCACCGGACCTCAACCCAGCACCCTCGGAGGAGAGGAGGCGCGGCGCTTCTATCAAAGCCTCATAGAAGAGGGGGGTGGAGGGGAGAGGCGGGGAGTGGATCAGAGGAGGAGAGAGAACCACACGGGGAGAGAGGGAGCGAGAGAGAGGAGGGGGAGAGCAGGGGAGCACGTCCAGGTATCACAAACACAACACATATAGCCTAGTAGCAACACATATAGCCTAGTAGCAACACACATAGCCTAGTAGCAACACACATAGCCTAGTAGCAACACATATAGCCTAGTAGCAACACACATAGCCTAGTAGCAACACACATAGCCTAGTAGCAACACACATAGCCTAGTAGCAACACACATAGCCTAGTAGCAACACATATAGCCTAGTAGCAACACATATAGCCTAGTAGCAACACATATAGCCTAGTAGCAACACATATAGCCTAGTAGCAACACACATAGCCTAGTAGCAACACACATAGCCTAGTAGCAACACACATAGCCTAGTAGCAACACATATAGCCTAGTAGCAACACATATAGCCTAGTAGCAACACATATAGCCTAGTAGCAACACATATAGCCTAGTAGCAACACACATAGCCTAGTAGCAACACATATAGCCTAGTAGCAACACATATAGCCTAGTAGCAACACACATAGCCTAGTAGCAACACACATAGCCTAGTAGCAACACACATAGCCTAGTAGCAACACATATAGCCTAGTAGCAACACATATAGCCTAGTAGCAACACATATAGCCTAGTAGCTACATCATCTATGGTCATGTATGATTTAAAAATAAAGTATTTCATCAGTATATATATATATATATATGCAACATCCATACATTTTACTGTGTGTATATATATATATATATATATATATATATATATATATATATATATATATATATATATATATATATATATACACATACATACATACATACATACATATACAGTACCAGTCAAAAGTTTGGACACACCTACTCATTCAAGGGTTTTTCTTTATTTGTAAAATGTTCTACATTGTAGAATAATAGTGAAGACATCAAAACTATGAAATAACACATATGGAATCATGTAGTAATCAAAAAAGTAAATTTATATTAGAGATTCTTCAAAGTACCCACCCTTTGCCTTTATGACAGCTTTGCACACTCTTGGCATTCTCTCAACCAGTGTCACCTGGAATGCTTTTCCAACAGTCTTGAAAGAGTTCCCACATATGCTGAGCACTTGTTGGCTGCTTTTCCTTCACTCTGCCGTCCGACTCATCCCTAACCATCTCAATTGGGTTGAGGTCAGGTGAGTGTGAAGGCCAGGTCATCTGATGCAGCACTCCATCACTCTCTTTCTTGGTCAAATAGCCCTTACACAGCCTGGAGGTGTGTTGGGTCATTGTCCTGTTGAAAAACAAATGATAGTCCCACTAAGGCCAAACCAGATGGGACGGCGTATCGCTGCAGAATCCTGTGGTAGCCATGCTGGTTACGTGTGCCTTGAATTCTAAATATATCACAGACAGTGTCACCAGCAAAGCACCCCCACACCATAACACCACCACCTCCATGCTTCATGGTGGGAACTACACATGCGGAGATCATCCGTTCACCCACACCGCGTCTCACAAAGACACAGCGGTTGGAAACAAAAATCTCACATTTGGACTCCAGACCAAAGGACACATTTCCACCGGTCTAATGTCCATTGCTCGTGTTTCTTGGCCCAAGCAAGTCTCTTCTTCTTATTGGTGTCCTTTAGTAGTGGAGTCTTTGCAGCAATTCGACCATGAAGGACTGATTCACACAGTCTCCTCTGAACAGTTGATGTTGAGATGTGTCTTTGACTTGAACTCTATGAAGCATTTATTTGGGCTGCAATTTCTGAGGCTGGTAACTCTAATGAACTTATCCTCTGCAGCAGAGGTAACTCTGGGTCTTCCATTCCTGTGGCAGTCCTCATGAGAGGCAGTTTCATCATAGCGCTTGATGGTTTTTGCGACTGCACTTAAAGAAACTTTCAAAGTTCTTGAAATGTTCAATATTGACTGACCTTCATGTCTTAAAGTAATGATGGACTGTCGTTTTCTCTTTGCTTATTTGAGCTGTTCTTGCCATAATATGGACTTGGTCTTTTACCAAATGGGGCCATATTCTGTATACCCCCCTACCTTGTCACAACACAACTGATTGGCTCAAACGCATTAAGAAGGAAATAAATTCCACAAATTAACTTTTAAGAAGGCACACCTGTTAATTGAAATTCATTCCTTGTGACTACCTCATGAAGCTGGTTGAGAGAATGCAAAGAGTGTGCAAAGCTGTCATCAAGGCAAACAGTGGCTATTTGAAGAATCTCAAATATAAAATATATTTTGGATTTGTTTAACACTTTCTTGGTTACAACATGATTCCATATGTGTTATTTCATAGTTTTGATGTCTTCACTATTATTCTACAATGTAGAAAATAGTAAAAAATAAAGAAAAACCCTTGAATGAGTAGGTATGTACAAACTTTGACTGGTACTGTATATATTTCTTCATTAGTATTTCTATTGTCACTGTAAGTAGCTCTGGAGAAGAGCATCTGCTGATTGACCAAAATGTAGCTAAAGTAAAATGTATTATATCTCACAGGCTAGCAGGCAGCAGGTCAGCACCACCAGTACTACCACGGAGCTGGAGGGGCTGAGGCTGCTGCGTTGTGCCCAGGAAGGTGACCTGTCTGGGGTGAGAGGCCTGCTGTCCCGCGGGGTGGATGTCAACTTCCAGGTAGGTCACAGGAGGTATCTGAACCCGGGTCTCCCGAGGGAGAAACCAATTAGGGGATTACTGGACCGGGTCTCCCGAAGGAGAAACCAATTAGGGGATTACTGGACCGGGTCTCCCGAGGGAGAAACCAATTAGGGGATTACTGGACCGGGTCTCCCGAAGGAGAAACCAATTAGGGGATTACTGGACCGGGTCTCCCGAGGGAGAAACCAATTAGGGGATTACTGGACCGGGTCTCCCGAGGGAGAAACCAATTAGGAGAGTTACTGGACCGGGTTCTCCCGAGGGAGAAACCAAGTTAGGGATACTGGACCGTCTCCCGAGGGAGGAAAGGCCAAATTAGGTGTATTACTGGGACCGGGTCTCCCGAGGGTAGAAACCCAATTCAGGGGAGCTTACTGGTGACCGGGTCTCCCTAGGGAGAAACCAAGGTTAGGAGGGATTACCTGGACCGGGGGTTGGTCTACCGCGAGTGAGAAACCAATTAGGGGATTTATTACTGGACCGGGTCCGCCCGAGGAGAAACCATTAGGGATTACTTGGACAGTGTCTCCCGAGTGAGAAACCATTAGGGATTGAACTGACCCGGGTCCCCGAGGGAGAAACCAATTAGGGGATTACTGGACCGGGTCTCCCGAGGAGAACCATAGGGGAGATTACTGGACGCCCGGGGAAACCATTAGGGGATTACTGGACCGGGTCTCCCGAGGAGAAACCAATAGGGATTGATTACTGGCCGGGTCTCCCGAGGGGAGAACCAATTAGGGATTGATTACTGGACCGGGCCGCCCGAGGGAGAAACCAATTAGGGGATTTGATTACTGGACCGGGTCTCCCGAGGGAGAAACCAATTAGGGGATTTGATTACTGGACCGGGTCTCCCGAGGGAGAAACCAATTAGGGGATTTGATTACTGGACCGGGCCGCCCGAGGGAGAAACCAATTAGGGGATTTGATTACTGGACCGGGCCGCCGAGGGAGAAACCAATTAGGGGATTTGATTACTGGACCGGGTCTCCCGAGGGAGAAACCAATTAGGAGATTTGATTACTGGACCGGGTCTCCCGAGGGAGAAACCAATTAGGGGATTTGATTACTGGACCGGGGGCCCGAGTTGCCGGAGTTTTCACCGGGTGAAAAGTGACTGCATTAGTTATGTCACCGGGCTGCCTCCCGGGCATGAGCCAGGTGCCCCGTTCAAAGCCCACGGAGAAGTTGGCTCAAAACAAAAGTGACCTTAAAGGTTAAGCATGTGGAGTAATGAGTAGGATGCTGTGTTTTCACATGCAAAAGTGGGGCTTTTGATAAAAATGGTTTATCTGCATGAAAATGGAATATTCTTATATACAGTACCAGTCAAAAGTTTGGACAAACCTACTCATTCCAGGGTTTTTCTTTATTTTTACTATTTTCTACGTTGTAGAATAATAGTGAAGACATCAAAACTATGAAATAACACTTATGGAATCATGTAGTAACCAAAAAAAGTGTTAAACAAATCAATATATATTTTATATTTGAGATTCTTCAAAGTAGCCACCCTTTGCCTTGATGACAGCTTTGCATTCTCTCAACCAGCTTCATGAGGTAGTCACCTGGAATGCTTTTCCAACAGTCTTGAAGGAGTTCCCACATATGCTGAGTACTTGTTGGCTGCTTGTCCTTCACTCTGCGGTCCAACTCATCCCAAACCATCTCAATTGGGTTGAGGTCGGGGGATTGTGGAGGCCAAGTCATCTGATGCAGCACTCCATCACTCTCCTTCTTGGAAAAATAGTCCTTACACAGCCTGGAGGTGTGTTGGGTCATTGTCCTATTGAGAAAACAAATGATAGTTCCACTAAGCACAAACCAGATGGGATGGCGTATCGCTGCAGAATGCTGTGGTAGCCATGCTGGTTAAGTGTTCCTTGAATTCTAAATAAATCACAGACGGTGTCACCAGCAAAGCACCATAACACCTCCTCCTCCATGCTTCACGGTGGAAACCACACATACAGAGATCATCTGTTCACCTACTCTGTGTCTCACAAAGACACAGCGGTTGGAAACAAAAATCTCAAATTTGGACTCATCAGACCAAAGGACAGATTTCCACCGGTCTAATGTCCATTGCTCGTGATTTTTGACCCAAGCAAGTCTCTTCTTATTATTGGTGTCCTTTAGTAGTGGTTTCTTTGCAGCAATTCGACCATGAAGGCCTGATTCACACAGGCTCCTCTGAACAGTTGATGTTGAGATGTGTCTGTTACTTGAACTCTGTGAAGCATTTATTTGGCCTGCAATTTCTGAGGCTGGTAACTCTAATGAACTGATCCTCTACCTACCTTAGTTGGATGTACTGACTGGTGGTGGTTACCTACCTTAGTTGGATGTACTGACTGGTGGTTACCTACCTTAGTTGGATGTACTGACTGGTGGTGGTTACCTACCTTAGTTGGATGTACTGACTGGTGGTTACCTACCTTAGTTGGATGTACTGACTGGTGGTGGTTACCTACCTTAGTTGGATGTACTGACTGGTGGTGGTTACCTACCTTAGTTGGATGTACTGACTGGTGGTTACCTACCTTAGTTGGATGTACTGACTGGTGGTTACCTACCTTAGTTGGATGTACTGACTGGTGTGGTTACCTACCTTAGTTGGATGTACTGACTGGTGGTTACCTACCTTAGTTGGATGTACTGACTGGTGGTGTTACCTACCTTAGTTGGATGTACTGACTGGGTGGTTACCTACCTAGTTGGATGTACTGGACTGGTGGGGTTACCTACCTTAGTTGGATGTACTGACTGGTGGTGGTTACCTACCTTAGTTGGATGGTACTGACTGGATGGTGGTGGTTACCTACCTTAGTTGGATGTACTGACTGGTGGTGGTTACCTACCTTAGTTGGATGTACTGACTGGTGGTGGTTACCTACCTTAGTTGGAATGTACTGACTGGTGGTTACCTACCTTAGTTGGTGTACTGACTGGTGTGGTTACCTACCTTAGTTGGATGTACTGACTGGTGGTGGTTACCTACCCTTAGTTGGATGTACTGACTGGTGGTGGTTACCTACCTTAGTTGGATGTACTGATGGTGTGGTTAACCATACCTTAGTTGGAGTCCTGTGGTGTTACCTACCTTAGTTGGATGTACTGACTGGTGGTGGTTACCTACCTTAGTTGGATGTACTGACTGGTGGTGGTTACCTACCTTAGTTGGATGTACTGACTGGTGGTGGTTACCTACCTTAGTTGGATGTACTGACTGGTGGTGGTTACCTACCTTAGTTGGATGTACTGACTGGTGGTGGTTCCTACCTTAGTTGGATGTACTGACTGTGGTGGTTACCTACCTTAGTTGGATGTACTGACTGGTGTGGTTACCTACCTTAGTTGGATGTACTGACTGGTGGTTACCTACCTTAGTTGGATGTACTGACTGGTGGTGGTTACCTACCTTAGTTGGATGTACTGACTGGTGGTTACCTACCTTAGTTGGATGTACTGACTGGTGGTTACCTACCTTAGTTGGATGTACTGACTGGTGTGGTTACCTACCTTAGTTGGATGTACTGACTTACACCTACCTTAGTTGATGTGCTGACTGGTGGTTACCACCTACCTTAGTTGGATGTACTGACTGTGGTTACCTACCTTAGTTGGATGTACTGACTGGTGGTTACCTACCTTAGTTGGATGTACTGACTGGTGGTTACCTACCTTAGTTGGATGTACTGACTGGTGGTGGTTACCTACCTTAGTTGAATGTACTGACTGGTGGTGGTTACCTACCTTAGTTGGATGTACTGACTGGTGGTGGTTACCTACCTTAGTTGGATGTACTGACTGGTGGTTACCTACCTACCTTAGTTGGATGTACTGACTGGTGGTTACCTACCTTAGTTGGATGTACTGACTGGTGGTGGTTACCTACCCTTAGTTGGGCTGTTACTGACTTGGTGGGTTACCTACCTTAGTTGGATGTACTGACTGGTGGTTGTTTACCTACCTTAGTTGAATGTACTGACTGTGGTGGTTACCTACCTTAGTTGGATGTACTGACTGGTGGTTGGTTACCTACCTTATTGGATGTACTGACTGGTGGTGGTTACCTACCTTAGTTTGGATGTACTGACTGGTGGTGGTTACCTACCTTAGTTTGGATGTACTGACTGGTGGGTGGTTACCTACCGTAGTTGGATGTACTGACTGGTGGTGGTTACCTACCTTATTTGGATGTACGACTGGTGGTGGTTACCTACCTTAGTTGGATGTACTGACTGGGGTTACCTACCTTAGTTTGGATTTACTGCTGGTTGTTACCTACCTTAGTGGGATGTACTGACTGGGTGTTACCTACCTTAGTTGGATGTCTGACCTGTGGGGTTAACTACCTTATTTGAATGACTGGACTTGGTGGTGGTTCCTACCTTAGTTGGATGTCCTGACTGGTTGGTTACCTACCTTAGTTGGATGTACTGACTGGTGGTTACCTACCTTAGTTTGGATGTACTAGACTTGTGTGGTTACCCTACCTAGTTGGATGTCTGACTGGTGGTTCCTACCTATTAGTTGGATGTACTGACTTTGGTGGTGGTTACCTACCTTAGTTGGTGTACGAACTGGTTGTGGTTACCTACCTTAGTTGTGGTGTTACTGAGCTGTGGTGGTTACCTACCTTAGTTGGTGTACTGACTGGTGGTGGTTACCTACCTTGTTGGATGTACAAGACTGGGGTGGTTACCTACCCATGTTGGATGTACTATACTGTTTTGGATTTACCTCGCCGTTATTTTTCTTTCCTTACTGTTTTGTGTTACCTCCCTTCTGTTTATTTCCCTTCCGATCTCCTGTCTCATCTTGATAAGAGTGTCTGCTAAATTACCAAAATGTAAAATTTTCTGTACACATCTTTTTTAAATGTGTCTCTGTCTCTCTCTCTCTCGTCTTTTCTCCCCCCTTTCTCTTCTCTCTTTTCCCCTCCTTCTCCTCTCTCTCCCCCTCTCCCCTCCCCCCCCCCCGCTCTCTCTTCCTCTCCCTCTCTCTCTTCTTTTTTCTCTCTCTCTCCCCCTTCTCTCTCTCCTCTTCTCCTCTCTTTCTCTTTTTTCTCCTTTCTCTTTCCCTCTCTCCTCTCTCTCTTTCTCCTCCTCTCCCCCTTCTCTCTTCTCTCTACTCACTCACTCTCTCTGTCTCTCTCCAGACACGGGGGTGGACAGGTCTGATTTGCACGGGGGGGCGGGGGGCGGGGGTGTCGTTGGGGCCCTCCCCCAGCAGGGGGGGCGGGGGGGCGGGTGGACACGCAGGGGCCCGGGGCGCCCGGGGCTGCTGGAGGGCGGGGCTAGCGGGGGGCCCGGGAACTGGAGCTACGGGTCTCCATAACATGAGACGGGTACCCCCGACCGGCGTGGGGGAAAGAGAGGTAACCCAAAACCCCCAGGCCAGAGGTTTTGTGGACTGACTGACTACCCCCCATACCACAGGTTTTCTGCTGACTGCTGACTGACTACCATGACCACAGGTTACTGACTGACTCTGACTACCATGACCCAAAGGGACTGATGACTGACTACCATGACCACAGGTTACTGACTGACTGACTACCATGACCACAGGTTACTGACTGACTGACTGCTACCATCCACATTCCCACGACTGACTGACTCCAGCCAAGGTTTCTGGGCTGAAATGCTCTGACCCAGGTTACTGACTGACTGACTACCATGACCACAGGTTACTGACTGACTGACTGACTACCATGACCACAGGGTTTCGACGACTGACTACCTGACCCCAAGGGTTCTACTGACTGACTGACACCAGGGCCACAGTTACTGCTGCTGACTACTACTCCTGACCCAGGTTTTTTGACTGACTGACTACCATGACCACAGGTTACTGACTGACTGACTGACTACCATGACCAGAGGTTACTGACTCTGACTGACACCAGACCCGGTTACTCTGACTGACCCAAACCCGACCACAGGTTACGACTGCTGACTGACTCCCTGACCACAGGTTAAATGACTGCTGACTGACTAACCCGACCCCAGGGGTTAGACGATGACGACTACCCTACCACAGGGACGAATAAGACTAACCAAACCAAGGTTAACGCTGTGCTGAACCCTGACCACAGGTTCTACTGTGTGCCCAGGACCCCAAAGGGTTTGATGCTTGACCGGACTGCAATTCCCCCAGGTTTTTGATACTGACACCTGACCCAGGTTTGGTCTGCTGACAAAACCCGGACCACAGTTCTGTGCTCCTACCAGACCCAGGTTACTAATGTGACTCTACCCCGCCACGGCAGGAACTCCATAAAGGTTTAAAATCTAGGGGCCAATCCCGACCACAGGTTTTTGGGCTGCTGAAACCATACCCAGGTCTACTGTGGCTGCTCTGGGGTGGGGGCGCACCGAACCACACCGGGCCGTGCCGTCTGTGGCGACCGTACTTTTTTCTTTGTAAACCAAATTATTCAAATCGGAAAAGCAAAACCAAAACGCAAAAGCTATCCAGTTTTGAGGACCCCGGCATAGGGGTTTGGGGGCGGGACATGCACACGATTCTGTTCTGTTGCGCGAGGATCTCCCTCTAGGAGTGTTTCGTTCGCGTAGGGCAGCCCAAACCGCGGATTTCCCCTTAGGTAGTTGTTGGTTTGGTAGGGCAGCCAACCCGCAGATTCCATTAGGGGTTGTTTCCCTATCGTAGGGCAACCCCTGCAGGATCTTTCCATTTAGTGTTTGTTTGCGTATCGTAGGGCAGCCAACCTGCAGGATCTCCTCTGGAGTTGTTGCTTTTTTCGGTAGGGCAGCCAACGGGACCCATTAAAGGGGTTGTTGTGTTTGTTTTCCCCTAGGGCAGCCAAAACCCGCGATCTCATTAGTTAGTTGTTTTCGTTCTGCGTAGGGCACCCAACCCGCCAGGATCCCATTAGTGGTATTGTTGCGTTTCGCAGGGAATCCTGATTTCCCGAGGGGGGGGCCCTTCCCTGGCTAGGGAGACAAGGCCGGGGGATTGAAAGGTTTTTTGTTGTCAGGAATACCCATGTTTTCCTTTTTTTTCTTTCTTCTTTCTCATCCCTTTTCTCCTCTTCTCTTCTTTTCCCGTCCCCCTCGTCTCTCTGTCTCTGTCCTTTTTCTGGGGTTTCTTGTTCTCTCTCTCCCCTGTCCTCTCTCCTCCCCTCCCTCTCTCTTCTCTATCCTCTTCTCTCCCCCCCCCCCCCCCCCCCCCCCCAGTTCTCCCCCAGCACAGCAGCAGACCAGAGCCATCAGAACCAGTCAATCCAGACCCAGTGGTGTCCAGTCTGCAGTGTCCACTACACTGTCCTCCAGAGACGCACCTCTCCTCCACCCTCCACCTGTTCTCTCTCTCCCGCCCTGCCCCCCCTCCCCACTACTGCCTCCCCCCCTCCACCCCCGCCTACCAGATGATGCTGCGCTCTGGGTGGACCCCTGGTGGGGGGCTGGGGCCCGAGGGGGAGGGTCACAAACAGCCGGTCCGGACCGTCCTGAAGAGAGACAGCAGAGGCCTGGGTTACGGACCCACGCCCCGACCCAAGGTCACACACTTCCAACCTAAGGACCCGCAGGCAGTCAGACGGACGGGGAAGGAGGGGCGGTGGGAGAGGAGAGGGAGGAGGGGGATGAAGGAGCAGAGCAAGAGGGAGGAGAAGGACAGGAACTGGGAGAGGGACTTCCGCTCTTCGTTTAACACCTTTGACCCCTGACCTCTAAACTCTGATGTCATCACCTGTTGTAGTCAGTGTCTCTCTGTAGTGTACACTATGCTCTCTCTCTCTCTCTCTCTTCTCTCTCTCTCTCTCCTTCTATCTCTCTCTCCTCTCTCTCTCTTTCTTTCTTTCTCTCTCTCTCTCTCTCTCTCTCTCTCTCTCTCTCTCTGTAGTGTACACTATGCTCTCTCTCTCTGTAGTGTACACTATGCTCTCTCTCTGTAGTGTACACTATGCTCTCTCCTTGTAGTGTACACTATGCTCTCTCTCTCTCTCTGTAGTGTACACTATGCTCTCTCTCTCTCTGTAGTGTACACTCTGCTCTCTCTCTCTCTCTCTCTGTAGTGTACACTCTGCTCTCTCTCTCTCTGTAGTGTACACTATGCTCTCTCTCTCTCTGTAGTGTACACTATGTCTCTTCTCTCTGTAGTGTACACTTGCTCTCTCTCTCCTCTCTGTAGTGTACACTATGCTCTCTCTCTCTCTGTAGTGTACACTCTGCTCTCTCTCTCTCTCTCTCTGTAGTGTACACTATGCTCTCTCTCTCTCTGTAGTGTACACTCTGCTCTCTCTCTCTCTGTAGTGTACACTCTGCTCTCTCTCTCTCTGTAGTGTACACTATGCTCTCTCTCTCTCTGTAGTGTACACTCTCTCTCTCTCTCTCTCTCTGTAGTGTACACTCTGCTCTCTCTTCTCTCTCTGTAGTGTACACTCTGCTCTCTCTCTCTCTTGTAGTGTACACTCTGCTCTCTCTCTCTCTCTCTGTAGTGTACACTATGCTCTCTCTCTCTCTCTGTAGTGTACACTCTGCTCTCTTATGTAAATACGTTTTTTCTGTTTTTTTATTTTGAATAAATTTGCAAACATTTCTTAAAACCTGTTTTTGCTTTTGTCATTATGGGGTATTGTGTGTAGATTGATGAGGAAAACATGTAATTCAACCCATTTTAGAATAAGGCTGTAACCTAACAAAATGTGGAAAAAGTGAAAGGGTCTGAATACTTTCCGAATACACTGAATGTTCTATTAAATACTCTGACCGGGATTCATCAACCTGTGTGTGTGAGAGTGTGTGAGAGTGTGTGAGAGTGTGTGAGAGTGTAGTGAGAGGTGTGAGAGTGGTGTGTCGCGTGTTGTGTTGTGTGGAGGTGTGTTACACACCGTATCCAACCTTTGTCCACTCTACCTGTTGGTTCCACAGGGCCCATTTATGGCTTGATACGGACAGAGTGTTACTGTGAGCTGCAGGAGCTTCCCACTGGGGCTTGATACTTGATTTAATGAAGTGTTGACTGTACTGAGGGTTCCACTGGGGCTTGATAAGGAAAGTGTTAACTGTACTGAGGGCGTTCCAATGGGGGCTTGATAATGAAGTGTTACTGTACTGAGGAGTTCCACTGGGGCTTGATATGAGGTCTTACTGTACTGCAGGAGGTCCACTGGGGGTTTATAAGGGAAATGTTACGTTTCTGAGGGGTTCCAATGGGGTTGATAAAGGGAAATGTTACGTAAATGAGGAGTTTCCCCCCCGGGGTTAAATGAAATGTTAAAGGGCGGGGGATTCCACGGGGCTTAAATGAAGTGTACTGTACTGAGGAGTTCCACGGGGTTGATAATGAAGTTTTTCTGTAAAAGGAGTTTCCCCTGGGGCTTGATAATGAATGTTATGTTTCTGAGGAGGGTTTCCCCTGGGGGTTTAATGAAGTGTTCTGTCTGAGATTCCACTGGGGCCTTTATAATGAATGTTAAATGTAATGAGGGGTTTTCCCCCTGGGGCTTGTAATGAATTTTACTGTACTGAGGGGTTCCCCGGGGCTTGAATAAGTTTACTGTAATGAGGATTTTTACTGGGCTTTATAATGAAGGGGTTTTTCGTACTTAGGGGTTCCCCTGGGGGGTTATAATGAAGTTTTTACCCTACGGGGGAGTTTAAATGGGGCTTGATAATGAAGTGTTACTGTACTGAGGAGTTCCACTGGGGCTTGATAATGAAGTGTTACTGGTACTGAGGAGTCCACTGGGGCTTGATAATGAAGTGTTACTGTATGAGGAGTTCCACTGGGGCTTGATAATGAAGTGTTACTGTACTGAGGAGTTCCACTGGGGCTTGATAATGAGTGTTACTGTACTGAGGAGTTCCACTGGGGCTTGATAATGAAGTGTTACTGTACTGAGGAGTTCCACTGGGGCTTGATAATGAAGTGTACTGTACTGAGGAGTTCCATGGGGCTTATAATGAAGTGGTTACTGTACTGAGGAGTTCCACTGGGGCTTGATAATGAAGTGTTACTGTACTGAGGAGTTTCCACTGGGGCTTGATAATGAAGTGTTACTGTACTGAGGAGTTCCACTGGGGCTGCTGATAATTGAAGAGTGTTACTGTACTGAGGAGTTCCATGGGGCTTGATAATAAGTGTTTACTGTACTGAGGAGTTCAATGGGGCTTGATAATGAAGGTGTACTGTACTGAGGAGTTCCACTGGGGCTTGATAATGAAGTGTTACTGTACTGAGAGTTCACTGGGGCTTGATAAGGAAGTGTACTGTACTGAGGAGTTCCACTGGGGCTTGAAATGAAGTGTTACTGTACTGAGGAGTTCCACTGGGGCTTGATAATGAAGTGTTACTTTAACAACCTCTCCCTCAAACGTGATCAAGACAAAGGAGATGATCGTGGACTACAGGAAAAAGGAGGACCGAGCACGCCCCTCATTCTCGTCGACGGGGCTGTAGTGGAACGGGTTGAGAGCTTCAAGTTCCTGGTGTCCACATCACCAACAAACTATCATGGTCGAAACACACCAAGACAGTTGTGAAGAGAGCATGGACAACACCTTTTCCCCCTCAGGAGACTGAAAAGATTTGGCATGGGTCCTTAGATCCTCAAAAAGTTCTACAGCTGCACCATCGAGAGCATCCTGACTGGTTGCATCACCGCCTGGTATGACAACTGCTCGGCCTCCGACCGCAAGGCACTACAGAGGGTAGTACATCACTGGGGGCCCAAGCTTTCCTGCCATCCAGGACCTCTATAACCAGGCGGTGTCAGAGGAAGGCCCTAAAAATTGTCAGACTCCGCCACCCTAGTCATAGACTGTTCTCTCTGTTACCGCACGGCAAGCGGAGGTACCGGAGCGCCAAGTCTACAGTGGGGAAAAAAAGTATTTAGTTCAGCCACCAATTGTGCAAGTTCTCCCACTTAAAAAGATGAGAGAGGCCTGTAATTTGCATCATAGGTACACGTCAACTATTGACAGACAAATTGAGAGAGAAAAAAATCCAGAAAATCACATTGTAGGATTTTTTTATGAAGTTATTTGCAAATTATGGTGGAAAATAAGTATTTGGTCACCTACAAACAAGCAAAATTTCTGGCTCTCACAAACCTGTAACTTCTTCTTTAAGAGGCTCCTCTGTCCTCCACTCGTTACCTGTATTAATGGCACCTGTTTGAACTTGTTATCAGTATAAAAGACACCTGTCCACAACCTCAAACAGTCACACTCCAAACTCCACTATGGCCAAGACCAAAGAGCTGTCAAAGGACACCAGAAACAAAATTGTAGACCTGCACCAGGCTGGGAAGACTGAATCTGCAATAGGTAAGCAGCTTGGTTTGAAGAAGAAATCAACTGTGGGAGCAATTATTAGGAAATGGAAGACATACATGACCACTGATAATCTCCCTCGATCTGGGGCTCCACGCAAGATCTCACCCCGTGGGGTCAAAATGATCACAAGAACGGTGAGCAAAAATCCCAGAACCCACACGGGGGGACCTAGTGAATGACCTGCAGAGAGCTGGGACCAAAGTAACAAAGCCTACCATCAGTAACACACTACGCCGCCAGGGACTCAAATCCTGCAGTGCCAGACGTGTCCCCCTGCTTAAGCCAGTACATGTCCAGGCCCGTCTGAAGTTTGCTAGAGTGCATTTGGATGATCCAGAAGAGGATTGGGGGAATGTCATATGTCAGATGAAACCAAAATAGAACTTTTTGGTAAAAACTCAACTCGTCGTGTTTGGAGGACAAAGAATGCTGAGATGCATCCAAAGAACACCATACCTACTGTGAAGCATGGGGGTGGAAACATCATGCTTTGGGGCTGTTTTTCTGCCAAGGGACCAGGACGACTGATCCGTGTAAAGGAAAGAATGAATGGGGCCATGTATCGTGAGATTTTGAGTGAAAAACCTCCTTCCATCAGCAAGGGCATTGAAGATGAAACGTGGCTGGGTCTTTCAGCATGACAATGATCCCAAACACACCGCCCGGGCAACGAAGGAGTGGCTTCGTAAGAAGCATTTCAAGGTCCTGGAGTGGCCTAGCCAGTCTCCAGATCTCAACCCCCATAGAAAATCTTTGGAGGGAGTTGAAAGTCTGTGTTGCCCAGCGACAGCCCCAAAAACATCACTGCTCTAGAGGAGATCTGCATGGAGGAATGGGCCAAATACCAGCAACAGTGTGTGAAAACCTTGTGAAGACTTACAGAAAATGTTTGACCTGTGTCATTGCCAACAAAGGGTATATAACAAAGTATTGAGAAACTTTTGTTATTGACCAAATACTTATGGGGGGGACATTTCCCTGGTGGATTCACACCATGAAAGGAGCTCTGCTGTAAGGACAGCTTTATATAGGACCTAACAGTTTGTGGGCACCGTTCGTGTTATAGCGCAATTAATGTGTTGTGTTGTGGCTTTGCTGGCATGCATCTAAAAAAAAAATTGGTTGAGTTTGCCCCACTAAGATTTACATGCTAAAATCGCCACTGGCCAACATAAGAGTACATGTTCAGTGAATCAGTGAGGGGGAAAAAAGTATTTGATCCCCTGCTGATTTTGTACGTTTGCCCACTGACAAAGAAATGATCAGTCTATAATTTTAATGGTAGGTTTATTTGAACAGTGAGAGACAGAATAACAAGAAAAGAATCCAGAAAAACGCATGTCAAAAATGTTATAAATTGATTTGCATTTTAATGAGGGAAATAAGT